CTCTATGCCTTCTTCCGGAGTTCGGTATTTTTCCGGATGTAGAGCTCCATTCATGGGCTTTGGTCGAAGCAGAGCGCTCTGTGGATATTTTTCAGGCGCATGCCAAGCAGCAGATAGAGCTGCAGATTCCGATAGTGCAAGACGTATCGGGCCTTGTCGCGCAGATTGGGGACCAGCTTTTCGACCTCGTGAGACGCACCCCCATACATCTTTTTGAAGAGAATTTGCTGGTAATCCGACATCAAAGCGTTGTCGACCTTCAGGCGTCCTGGCGCTAATGGATATGCATTGTGCTCGTCGTGCAGCTCTTCTGGATACTCCAGATCGACTTTGAGAATGTAGCCCTTCTCTGCATGTACAGGCTGGTTCAGGGCCGTCTTCACATCCTCTTGGAGGACTCACTCGAACGCGCCTTTTAGGAGCGGCTGCGACATCGCCCAGCCGTACAGGTTGTTAGCGTCGTAGTACTGGATCCATCTTTGGAGCTTCCCCGGATCGTAGTCTGGCACCTTGGAATTGTTGGCCTTGGCGAAGCGCCTGCTGGCCATGCTGATGCCACCCCGCAGGCCCTTCTAGATGAAGAGATGCATTCAATGTCGGTGAGCAGCTCGAGCTCCAGCCCTGTGTGCTTGAGGAGAGCGTCCCAGCTTAGGCCCGGGCTTGTGTAATAGTGGGCCGTGTCTAGCCGGTATTGCTCGAGGCACAGCTTTCGGAAGTTGTCGAAAACGTCAGCGAGGAGGAGGACATAGGTCCGAAGGTAGAGGACGTGGTAGTCGACGAGGGTTGTGCAGACGAAGGTGTCCCAGACCCTTTTTTTTTTGGCGTAGTCACCGTCGGTGATGCCTTCGCCGGAGAGCTTGTTGTAGAAAGCCTCCTTTGGCAGGAGGCTCTCCTCGTCCAATCGGAGCAGCTGTCCATATACTCGTAGGGGTAGATACCCTTCCGGAGCAAGAGGGTAAGCCTCTGGAGGGTCGGCTCCTAGTCTGCTGTGATGCGCATGTCTTGCGGGTCACTGGCTTTCACCAGTCCATCCAGGCATGAGAGCATGAACTGGGCGCTGTCGATGAATCGGAGCTGGCCGATGCTGAACGAGATGTATTTCTCGGCGTTGTTGGGGATACAGGTGACCTTCCCTTCAGTCTCTGTGCTAGTCTGCATAATGAGATGGCTGACGCAGCCCCAAAGGTTGTGAAAGACAAGCGTTATGGTTGTCGTCTTCGGGCTGAGTCGCAACTTCAAGTTGCACTTATTGTTGGCCGCACCTCTGTACTTGCCAGTTATGTGGCAGTGGTCTCGCACGTAATTGCCTTCGAGGGGCTTGCAGCAGACGTGGCAATTTGTGGCTTTCTTGTGACTCCCCCAGTCCTTTCCTGTCATATGCAACTGATGGCAACTGATGGTAACGGGCGGCCGTTCGTGTGCTGTTATTGGATTTCAAGAAAGCTTTGATCTGATTGATCATAACTTATTGTTTAAAACTACTTTCATTATATATATCGAAATGTTTTACACTGGATTATGGATTTCCTTTTAGGAAACAAAGAGTAAAGCTGAAATTCGATTGCTTTTCAGAGTGGCAACTAATTTGATTTCCGCCAGCAATAAGCGTTTTCCTCCGCGTTTCTAAGATTACAAGTAGAATACGCCATGTTGATATATGTTCAACTTTTACGTCACAAGTCATTAGCATACCGATCAAAAAGTTCGCAAAAAAATACTGAAAATCGTGACTTTGAACGTCCGTAAAATCACTTCACCAATCCATTTTCAATTATAACTGCAGATTTAAAATCACTGAAACAAGGTCTTTCAATTTAGCTAATAAAAAAGTGGGGCTAAAATTGTAATATAAACACTTTAAAAATAGACTCAATAAACTGAATAAACTAAGAAAATATATGTTTAATGTCTGAATTTCAAGATTTTTATCGAATTCTGACCGTTTCCTTGCCACATTGGATACCCCATGGATCTGCCCTGTATAATACGTATTTACCGACTGGAGGTCCGTATACGGAAAAATATTTTCACAAGGTCTGCAACTTATGTTGACTAAATTTGATGCTTTTCACCAAACTTCGCTTTGTCTGGACAGTAAAATGGAATCTTGCATCGACATCTTTCATCTGAATACACCTTGCTTACTCGTTAAACAATTTACATCGCTTTCAAATCAATTTTATAAAATTTGAATTTCACTTCGTAAACAAATACATTGCAAAAATATGTTGAGACTAAATTGGATTTTCTACAAACTTTGCTTCGTCTGGATAGTAAAGTTCACTCTGGCTATGATAAATATCATTTTAAAATATTCTGCCTACTCGTTCAACAATTTACATCGCTCAAGTTTGTATCCAATGGAGCATAGGCATTCGTAGGAGCCTGGGATATTTATGCATGAGTGATATTTGCCACAAGGAGAAGACTGACATTCGCCGATATCTAATGTTTCACAATAAAGTTGTTTGAAAATGTGTACCATAAATTAAGCAATTTTATGTCTAATTTAAAGATGTGTAATACATAAATATAAAATTTTTGTTTAATTTTTTACGTTTGAATATTTCTTAATTGATTTTACGACAATGTAAAAAAATAGTTGTCCTAAAATTATAATACATGTATTTGATATGAACAAATCAACAAGTAAAACGTCAAATAAATTCTGTAACAAATGAGAGTATAGTGAGATCTTTGATTTTTAGGACTGTATGGCATTAATCAATTAAATTCACATGAAATGCTTACTTTAAACAAGCTTAAGTCAGTTTTAATGTAACATAAACCACTAATTGTTATTTATTCACTTAATCAGCAGAGACTTTCGAGAAACGCCCTTCTTGAATTAGCTAATAATTTGTGCATTTGAACACAAGACCTTGTCAAGCATTTCCCATATTTTAATATTTCAAGCAGTTTTCAAAGAATTTTCATGAAGTCACGTAAGCTTGCAACATAAGTTAAAATATCTAGAAAGACCAACTTACCGATACAATTCTTTTTGGATTTGTCAAGAATGTATCCAAAGGAGCATAGGCATTCGTAGGAGCCTGGGATATTTATGCATGAGTGATCTTTGCCACAAGGAGAAGACTGACATTCGCCGATATCTAATGTTTCACAATAAAAATGTTTGAAAATGTGTACCATAATTTAATAATTTTATTTTATGTCTAATTTAATGATGTGTAATAAATAAATATGAAATTTTTTGTTTAATTTATTACTTTTGAATATTTCTTAATTGATTTTACGAGAAAGTAAAAACATAATTGTCCTAAAATTTTCAAAGTATTTTCATGAAGTCACGTTAGCTTGCAACATAAGTTAAAAGATCTAGAATGACCAACTTACTGATTTAAATCAAACCTAGTTCTTACATAGCTAATAGGACTATGAATTATGAAATGTGACGTGTACCTACGACGGTTGCTATTTTGAATTATTTTCATCATTAATAAAAAACCCGAAAAACTACTTAGCCATTTAAAGCAATGAGTTTAACTTTTGAAAAATTCACACAACAAGGGCATATCAATTATCTCATCCTGTCGTTGCAAGTGTCGGAAATTTTGAGTTTGTTAATTCAAGATGTTGGATTATCTTTGCAAAAGAAAATGCATCGACTAACTAAATTATATGAAATTAAAGCATATCATCTACACCAAACAAGCTGGACGGTTAGCCCGCAATAAATCCTTTAAAAAATTTTTTTACAAGAAATGGAAAAATCATATTTGATCCAAGCATGTCGTCATAGATATGCATATCTTGGTATGAAAAGCATAGGTATTTGGAGACGTTGCATCTTGCCGTAAAATTTTAAAAAAATATTATTCAATCAAGCCTTATTCATTGCTCCATCAAGCAGTGTTCATTTTCAAATTTATTGTTTTCTAAGTAAATCAACACAGAAAAACCAACAAAACAAGACTAAATACAAGCAGGTTGGCTACAACCAGGTACAAAACTAGAACGATGATTGGAGGGGGGGGGTGAATATTTATATATGTGCGAATATTTATGTTTTGTGACGTAATGTGCTCAGCAGTAGGGCGTAACGGACAAAAAAGTTATGTAAATAGGAATGGCTAAGAAGGTATGGCATTTTCATTATTGCCTAAAAGCAGGTCTTTTGAATTTATATAAGTTTGGGGAAGCTTTATCTAAGGTTCCGTTTTTGACACATTTACTCGGGTAAACCTATTACTAAACATAACTCTCAATTATTTTTGATATTTAAGTGACCATTCCCTGCATACCAGTCCTTTATTGACTTGACATCTTTAAGTATGAACCAAGATATACTTGCATTTTTTCAGATTGGCCAAATTGGGTACCACATTAATATTAGTTGAATATGTTAAACTATTTTTGGCGATAAGAGAATTATTTGTCTTCTAGCCATTAACACTTCACCTTGGGCCATTGATTGAATCACTCTTAGTTGCATAAAAAGTTCAGAATTCCCTTTTTGTGTTAAACAATCTGCTACATGGTCAAATGAGTTCTCTAGTGCTAACATTTTTTGGCAGTAAAACAATAACTAAAGAATGCACCAATTTTACTACAAAATGGTACATTTATGTAAAGTGCCTAAAGTATTGATAATTATAGAAACTACTCACAATTTAAATTACGTCTCTCACGTTGACAGATAAAGTTAAGTTGATGCCCACAACTAATGTCCATCCACCTGTATATATGAATTGAAATTGAAACGCAGTCCTCTAAAACACCAGGTTCTCTCCAATGCCATGATGTGAAATTGGGCTTTCCATTTTGAACTGTGTAAAATTGATTGTCGCTTTTATTGCGATACAAACCAATAAATAGATTGTCATAGTGTTCCTTCATGATGATAATGGAAATGGCATTATTCTCAGCACTATTTTTTGGAACAGCAAGATCTCCTCCCATCTGTTGACAAAGTTTTCTTCCTTTATTCCATGTTGCTACTTTTGCACTGAAGAAATAACAAGATGATTCTAAATGCAACCAATAAGAAGGACAGCTTGCTAGACGAATGAAAAAATAAATAAGACAACAATAATAAGTAATTGTTTTCAGAATGATTTGTACGAATAGAATAAAATATTTAATATGCACTTTTTAACTGTTAAAGCTGATTAAAAATGCTTAAACAGGCAGGATTGTGTTTTGCAGACAGACGTTGTTTAAAACAAGTCTTTCAATACCTAAAGGGTTTTTAAAGAATGAGGAGGCTCTTTCAGCAGGTTTTGTAGAGTAGCCACAAGTTGCTGAGAAAAGTATAATAGATTAAAATTCTTAAAAAAATTGTATAGAAATTGTAAAAGAAATTGATTGTGAAGCTTATGTAGTCCGGCTAACACTTAAAATTTTAATCATAAGGGGAAACCTTTGTGTTTAAATGGATGGTTATAATAATAGTGCACCAAAATGTGCATGAACTTGAGTTAAGCTATCAAATATAGCTCATTTTTATGCCCATTTCAAATAACATTTCCTAATTTTCCAGATTAAAGTCAATTTCATTGTAATCTGTGCTAACATGAAATTTTTTTATGTCTGATTAGAAAATTCCAGTCTAACTCTAATAGCGTTAAATTGAATAGTAAAAAAGTCATAAAAATTTTATTCAGTAGAAATTACCCAGTAGAAATTTAATGCCATCTACTGAAAAACGTTATTACACATTATTTACATACTTTAAATTGAAAATGTTAAAAATTCAGTTTCTCAAGGTCGTGTTATGATAGGATAAACGACTGAATTTTGTGAAAAAGTGTTTTTAAGCGAATGAAATCATTACTAGGTATTATTATTATTTGTTAAAAATTGCTTGTTTCATGTTTCACACGCTGGAAACCTACAGAACACAAGCATTGCATGTAAGATATGGATATTATTGACTACTGTGAATTACATTTGAAGTGGGGATGCTGTTTTTCAATGCACTCAATTTCAGAATATAAAGTCAATTTCATTGTAATGTGTGCTTACATGAAATTTTTTTATGTCTGAATAGAAAATTCCAGTCTAACTTAATAGCGTTAAATTAAATAGTAAGAAAGTCATTTGAAATTTTATTAAACCCAGTAGAAATTTAATGCCATCTACTGAAAAACGTTATTACCCATTATTTACATACATTTTTTGACCTTATTTATTTTACCTCTTAAAAATATTGCTTATTTAGGTTTTTAAAGGAAGTGAATGCTTAACAGTAAAACCTAATTTTCTTACATCGAAAGTTAACAAGATATGTATGAATGAACATTATCAGTGCATACCACCCATACTAAGCGGCGGATGACTAATTGCGCGGCCTGTAATCTTAGAAAAATTTGTGGGACTTTAAGTGATACAACTTTTGAGGACGTTTCCGTTGCTTATGCTCCTTTGCCTTTGCTTCAGTTTTGTTACTCATAGTGTAAACATTATAGAATAAATTTAAATTTTAAAGAGATAAACTCACTACTTTATGAGTTCTATACATAGAGCATTATAATAGTATATCGTACAGTTTCCAACAGGATATATTATTGAAAATTTGATCATTTATCTCATCTAGAATGGCAAAGAGTAAAAACTATGTTTAAAGAGAACAGGACTTTTAAAAACGCGGAAATGTAAGCTTCAGCCTACATAGCCTACTGAGTAATCGGACAACGGCCATATTTGTCTGTTCTTGGAATAAGTTCATAAAGCTACAATCCATTGGTTGAAGATATTTGATGTAATATTATTGAGGTGCACTCATTCTAGGAGGTCTAGAATGGACTAGGTCTGCAAAACATGCTTTTCGGTCAGTGTTTTGAGATACTTGGTCTGGAAGCATGTCTGTCAAAATGCTTTTTAAAGTTTGGGTTTACAGAATTCTTAGTTTACAAAAGCCACCCAATAATAAACTCAAGACTGTCTAATATGGTGTATCTAGGTTAGCAGGGCCATAGCTAGATTACTAACCTCCGGGGAAGTGTTAAACCTAACCTTAACCTTTACCCTAACCCTAACCCTTCCCCCTCCTTAATGTAGAGAAAATCAAAATGTGTTAATTGTGAAAATCAAAGTGTTGCAGCTGGCGAACTTCAACTTGAGAAAGCGTCATTTCTAGCACACCTCACAGTTTGAGAAGGAGTATACACAAATCTAAGCGCCCCAGCCCTAGCTTGCTTACGTACTTCTTGTAAATATGCTAGCATAATTACAGCGAAGATCAAACCCAGGACAACGGCAGGAGCCAAAGACGGCTGGCCCATCCCCCTTATTTAGAAGCAGCGTATAGAAGGGTACGTGGTAAGATGAATAGTGAATCCAAAAGAGTACGTATGAAAAGACAAGAACAAAAAAAAAAGAGAAAGAGAGAAAAAATTAAATAATATAATAATAAGACAAAGAGAAGAACATCTTAAATTACAAACCAGGCTGCCAATACAAACAGGTACGATACAATTAGAAGAAGAATATTTTTATATTATATAGAATCGAGATGGACACTTTTAGAGAGATTCTGCAACTATATAAACAGGGTGTTGTAAGTGGAAGAGCTCTAAACTCATTCCTTGAAGCTTTTCAACCACTAGCATCTACATCAAGAAAGCGTACGAATACTGCTCCACCTGAACCTCCTTGGTACCCTGTAAGCGCAGGCCTATTAAGCTCAATGACGTAATAGAAAGTAAACCGCCTGTTATAACAAATTCTGTAGGTAAGGAAGCTACGTATGGAAATATGAGCGACCCAGCGTTAATACGCTATTACGCACTTCAGTTTCTAAGTGGAATTCCTCCAAAAACTAAAACTCAGACGCCTCCGGCGGCCGGTTCACTCCCTTTGCCAAAAGTGAAGTGTTCTTATTCAGTTCTAGATAATGAAGGAAAGCCTTCGGAATCATCTAGCGCTTCGTGTAGCAAATCTTCATCAAACAACCGTTGAATATTCGGGTATTATACTTTCTATCGTGAGTGTGATAATTACTCCAGCAGTTCCCATCTGTTAAACAACTAATGTTGCATCTTTAGGTAAGTCTACATCTATAAAATCACTATAGCTAAATTCAGAGTTAATATCACCAACACAATGTGTTTTTGTTTCACTTAAGACAAGTAATTTGCTAGGATTTTAAAGTACTCGTAACGTTCCTGCACTTTTAAAATATTTTCCACTTAATGATATTCGGTAGAGTGCAGCGTTTTCGATGGTGATTGTAGAAGAATCTTCTTCACCTTTTTTCACACATCGCGACATTGGTCCAATCTGAACCTCTTTTTCCAGTGACTGAAGTACCAACTTGAGTGTACACATCTACTGCAATTTCTAGTCGCTTTTTGTGTTTTTCACGTCTTCTATGATGTTTTACACGACGGGCGTGGTAGTTTTTGCCGGACGTAGCAAAGCTTCGAGAGCCTCACGCGTAGGTTTATCTACGTCTGCATAGTTCCAAGAAGATATGACTATATTTTCAGCCCTAGAAATATTTTCTAGTTGGAATTTTTCAAAATTTTTCTCTTTATTTTGTCGTAAGTATACTTCTACGGCTCGGCGAAAGAGATCGTTTGTTGATTCAAATTCATGAACCGAAGTTTCAGCTGCGTTAGACATTTTATGTGTTTGTGTGACAAGACTCAACTGAAGTGATAAACACTATAAATATAAAGTGAAAATTTATTGTTTTAGAATTAAGAAAACTCTAAATAGTTAACCTCATATCTTCGCGTCCAGTTAATGGGTATTGTACTAACATATGACATCAATTTGTTAGTGGTATCATGTACAAAACTAACATAAGGCCCCCAACTTTGTTCAAACACAGTAGATCTAATGTTAACCTCTCGTTTTAAGACCGTTTAAACTAAATGTTTAATAATGCTATTTTATTATTTTCGAGTGTTTTTCCAGTAGGAAACGTTACTAAAGTTACATTTACTTCGCTCATACTTGGGGGGGTAAAATCCATTAGGAGAGTTCAAAACAAGTTAATCTCCTTGCTCTCCTTTAAGCCAATCAGCTCCTGCCTGTCCTTGAGATTCTTGACGTTCTGATGGCCCCTGAGGCCCTGTGGCTTAAGTATCTCCTTTAGGCTCTTGAGTCCTTCGAGGTCACGCGGGCACTGCAGACCCCAGCTCTCCTCTTGGAACTGTTAGACCTCTAATGCCTTGTTGCCCTTGAGGTCCTTGAGGTCCCTGAGGTCCTTGACGTCCTTAAGGCCCTTGAGCTCCTGTGGCCCCGGGCGCACCATCACTTCCATTGGTCCCATCAGTTCTGTCATCTCCACAAGGACCCTTATCACCTTTCCCTCCTTTTGGTCCTCGAAGACCCGTATCTCCTTTAGCCCATGTAGCTCCTGTATCACCTTTTTCTCCCTTTGGTCCTCTAGGACCCGTATCTCCTTGAGCCCCCGATGCTCCTGTGTCACCTTTATCTCTCTTAACTCCTCTTGGTCCTCTAGGTCCTAATGCTCCTGCTTTTTCAGATCCATAACCATCATCAGTTCCACTGATTACTAATGTTGCCATTATTTGATGCGACGGTTAGTTTGATGCGATTTTTAGTTTGATGCGATGTTTATTTTGATGCGAGGTTTATATACTTACTTTATATAATAGAAAATTTTTTTTATTAATTACTAGATTTATGTTTAACCGCGAGAGAAATCTATGACGAGCCTCCAGCCTGATCCGTGATTTATTTAAAAGCTTGAGTTTCACATTCACGGCGTGCTCTTTCAGCAGCGGTGGCAACAGCTTCTTCTTTTTCACGCTCTAAGTTCTTATTTGTCTTTTTAATTTCTTTGAGTAGAGAAGCTACATCGACAGCCTGTTTCTTATTTGGAGCGTCGAATTCATGTTGAATAACGCGTTTACGCTCGTTAAAACGCCGCATTTGATCTATAACCTGTTCAAACTCTTCATGTGAGACTCGGCTGTCACTGAGAGCACGTGACGTAATATTACCAACAGTCATCAGAATCGTCGCAGCAGCTTGGGCTATGCGGTCGTGCTGTTTAGCCTTTTTATCAAGCTTTTTACAAAGA